CTACCAACAATCTCCCGGAGTACGTGGTACTTCCTCTCGATGTGCTTCGACTTCGAGTGGGCTCGTGGCTCCTTAGCCTGAGCAATCGCTCCATTATTGTCACACAACAATGGGATGGGTGATGTGCTGGACAGAACTACTCCCAATTCGTGAACGAACTTCATCCACACGGCTTCCTTGGTAGCTTCACTTGCAGTAATGTATTCGGCCTCGGTTGTGGAGTCTGCTGTGGACCCCTGTTTGTTGCTTTTCCAGCAAACAGCACACGATTCTATCGTGAAAACATATCCAGATGTAGACTTTCTATCATCCGGATCCGACTGGAAATCCGCATTTGTATACCCTTGGATCTGTAGTGAACTACCATCGAATACCAGACAAAAGCCATTTGTCCTTCGAAGGTACTTAAGTATGCATTTCACAACAGTCCAATGCTCCTGCCCTGGGTTGGCCTGGAATCTGCTTACTACACTCACTGCCTGGGCGATGTCAGGACGAGTGCACAGCATGGCATACATGATGCTCCCTACGGCTGAGGCATAGGGAACGTCTTTCATGCTCTCGATCTCCTCAGAGGTCTTTGGAGACATCTTCTTGGAGAGATTGACTCCATGCCTGAAATGAACATTTCCTTTCTTGGAGTTTTCCATGCTGTATCTCTTGACTATTTTGTCAATATAAGCAGATTGGGATAATCCTATTATCCGCTTCGATATCTCTATAGAGTCGAAGACCCAGTATATAGGAGGCTTCTCCAAGGTCTTTCATGGAGAATTGTTGTGATAGCGATACTTTTATCGTAGTTAACATTCCCACATCATTCCCAATGAGCAGAATGTCATCTACATACAGAACCAGAAACGTAACCTTGTCACCACTGGTCTTCCTGTAAACACAGAGTTCATCCGGATTTTGCTCAAAATCAAACTTTTTGACTGTAGAGTCAAATTGGATGTTCCAACTTCTAGAAGCTTGCTTGAGTCCATATATGGATCTATTCAACTTACAGACCATGTGTTCCTAACCCGCAGCTACAAAACCTTGCGGTCACTGCATATAGATATCTTTAGTAAGATCTCCATTCAGGAACGCAGTTTTGACATCCATCTGCCAAATCTCGTAGTCATAGTAAGCTGCTACAGCTAGCAGGATCCTAATGGATTTAAGCATGGCCACGGGCGAAAAGGTTTCCTCATAATCGATGCCTTCTTTCAG